TATCGATACCATAGAATTCCACTATCATTTATCAAGCTTAGTAACAAAGCTGTATTTTGGTCTTTAAAAATATGAAATTTCGATCAGACTAAAGACAACCTACCTCCTTGAACTCTTGGTTTGAAAGAACGAGATGGCATCCTAACACTTTAAAATGGCTGAAAAAGACACTAGGGGGAACATTCTGAGGTTTTGACTGGTTATTCACATGTCGTATATACAACTGTATATATATATAAGGGACAGTTTCCAAAAATGGAAATAGGTGAGCATGTCTACTTCATTTCATTCAGTACATGAGCGGTATCTCAGCAAATAAAAAACATTGGAGGTTCTTATTTTATATTCTAGCTTGTCAGTATTAGTAATTTGAGTTCCTAATTCTTACTAAACTATAGAATTCGTATTTTGACATCACAAACATCTAATTTGAACCAGTGCTGCATTCAACATACCACGTGACACACAAAAAAATCAATGTTTAGTTGTATTTTTTTAATATTTACTTTTAAGTAAAGAAATTAAATAATATATTTAATTTAAAACTTAAATTGTAATCTACAGTTTGATACCAAAATTAATGACATAAATTCATAAAATAGTAGTTCAGTAAAATTTTGAATACGAGTCAACAATCGTGATGACATGGTATTTGACTCGTGTGGAAAGGGTTAAAATGATAGCTTCAGCAGTCTTGTTTACCATCATATGTATGTTTATAAGAACAACTATGTGCTACAGTTAAAATGATAGCTTCAGTAGTCTTGTTTACCATCATATGTATGTTTATAAGAACAACTATGTGCTACAGTTAAAATGATAGATTCAGTAGTCTTGTTTCCTGTCATGATGTATGTTTATAAGAACAGCTGGATGCTACAATTAAAATGATAGATTCAGTAGTCTTGTTTGCCATCATGATATATGTTTATAAGAACATCTCTGTAAAACAGTTGAAATAATAGTTTCTGTACAGTCTTATTTGCTGTTATAGTGTATGTTTATAAGAGCTGTCTAAAGCATTTAAAATAATAGAATATATGGTATTTTTTACAATCGTGATGACTTCATTGTGAGTGTGATAATTATGTGATTCCTTAACCCTTTTGCTGTGGGCTCATGCGATTTGTGGAAATCGAGTCACGGAATTTCACTTGTACAACAATATATGCAGTAAATCTGAGATTTATTAACGTATCCATTCATAAACTGGTAAGAAAGATCACAAGTATCTCATACACAAAGAATGGCATTATTATAATTAAGTGTTTTTACTAAAAATACGTTATTTTTCTATTGTAGTGACTTGTATTCAATCTATTAATAAATTGAATGCAAGGTGATTTTCATTTTAAGTATAAAAATACTTTTCTTCCTCTTATAGTTTTCATATTTCATTTGCATAATCTCTAGAACCTCCTAAAAGGATATCAAAAGTTTTTAAGGTAAATGTATATATTTAATTTTTCATTTTCTCTACCTTTTCACTAACTCTAGCTCTATCATCAATGTACAGTGCAATGAAATGATTAAAATTAAGAAATAGAAAAAAAGCATATACCTTTTGTAGAATATCTTTAAAGATTTTCCTTTTGTTAAATTAATAATTTCAGGTCTTTTCATTTTCACATATAATTAATTTTTAATGTCTTATTTTCCTTTCTTGTCCTTTGCCATTACTCACTGAACAAAAATTTTATTGAAGGAAACTATAATATACCTCGAGAGCACCATTGACTTGTGTCAAAATGAATAATAAGTATCATAAACCTTGAGAATGGACTCAAAGTATGATGTGTACTTAAAAAATGTTTAAACCTTTTAATTATGCATTTTAAAATATAACATACATAATTAACTAAAACATAATAGTAAGACCTAAATACAATTTAAACTGTATCTCTAATTATAACATATTTAGGTAAGAAACAACCATAAGTGCTATAGTTGATCGAGCAGCCTACAATACTAAAGTCAATTAAATTCAGTCTGTGACAACAATTGCTCAGCAATTTCAAAATAACCATTGTTAGATTGTAGTTTAAAATGATCTCTTTCTAATGAATATATGCATGTTTATGTAGCATCTACGGTTATAAAGCTCAAACAAATCTGTTGAAGGTGGGTGTGGCATCTGTCAGGTGTTAAAAAATTTATTACTTGTTCCAACTGTATTAATTCAGATAACTTTGAAATGAATGAATGAAAAGGTTATGTGAGCAAGTTAGAGTCTAGACCAGTGGCTCCCAACCTTTTGTGGCCCTTGCACCCCTCTAAGGAAGCCCTCACACCCCTTCCAATAAAAAGTGTGCATTAGACATTTTGTGTTGGTGACAATTAGGGGAAAACGGACCTTGTTTAGGCCTCTTCCATGCACCCCCTAGACCCTCATTTTGTACCCTTTGTTGGGAACCCCTGGTCTAGACATACATCTATGCAACTATCATTGTATTATTGAAGTTACATAGTGCCAAAGTAATACCATTGTATTACTGAAGATACAGAGAGCCAAATTAGAGAATTTTCATAGCTTGTTGGTCATGTGACAATAGATCTAAAGTTTTAAGTGGCTTTTAAAGGTTTATTTCAAATAAAGGATTTAAAACTTGGATAAAATAAAACCTCGAATGATAACATGCATCATAATATTAATTTCATTCATATTCATTGACAGTAAAGGTGTTTAATTAAATTTTGAATGTAACTTGCATAGAAAAGCATTTAAAGGGGCTTCTGTTGTGAAAGGGTTAAATTAAAATAACAGGGATATTAATGACATTGAAGAAGATATGTGATGGTTTATAGTGATGATCCTGTTTAGACCAAGCTATTTACCAATGATTGTAATTATTTAGTTTTTATATATGAACTTGTTTTTTTCTTTGACCTTCTTTGTTAATCATAAGATATTCTTAAAATATTCTTGAAGATCACAAACCAATTTATTTGAATGTTTAGTTAAGTTTAGAACAGTTTGTTTTCACTTGACATAAGATTTGATTATGCTTCTGTTTTACTTTAAGTTATAAATTATTGTGTTTGTGCAATGTATTATGTGTTATATGATAATCCTTTAGTTTTCTGGTAACCTTTTACTGTTTTTAAGAGAGTAATTCTAGCTGGTATGATAATTCCACAGCTTGTGTAATGTAATTGTAATATTTTTAATTTGTCAGATGAGGTGGAAGAAGATGCTAGCTTCAAAAGATGTTTGCAACACAGTATGACAATCCATACCAACTATATCTTGGTTCCACCCTTTCCTCCCTTCAGTCCATCGCTATGTATGAAAAAAGATGGCTTAGTACTGATAAACACAGGGGACAACCTCATAGCCTTGGAAGTTGAACTCATAAGACACAACTCACTGGGATTTAAGAGTCATTTTGAAGCTGAAAACATTCCTACCACTAGCTTTCATCATGCGGGTAATTATACTGAGGAAGTTAGTCTTGGACATATTCAGTTGAGTGTGCCATCAGATGAAGAGGACTCTATCAGTTCACCTGTAGGTTATTGTCAGGACAACTGTGATCCAAGTCGTGTTGTTTGTGATCTCTCTAGTGCCTTGAAAAAAGATTGTTGTTACGAATCGCAAGTCTGTAGAGAAGATTGTGAGGCTCGCAGATGTTGGAATTATGACATTTTACCTTGTAGGTGTAATGTGCAACATTTTAGAATAGTCAGTAACTGTGGTGAAAATGTTTGTAACATCCGACCCGAGGACTGTAATGTAGCAAAGACCAGTGAGCCATTATTAGGAAGTAAACAGTCTGTAACAGCACAAAGTGATAAGATGGAGAATTGTTTAACTTTATTTAGTTCCTGTCAACACCAAGAATTTAAGTGTTGTACTAAGTTGTGTTTACATGGTGAATCATCTCAGAAAGTGTTTTGTAGCTGTCAGTGGCAACAAGAAAATAGTAGAGAAGAAAGTGAAGAACAAGTGTTTCCTTTGCATCTAGAGCAGCCAAAAATAAAAGATATTCAAGACTATCACTGTGTTAGTGCAACTCGACACAGATGGTCTGAAAAGTCTAATAAAACTACAGATGCTAGCTTAGGTATGGTGGTCAATCAGAGCTTGTCCCCAAAAGGCTTGGAACCTAGTGAACGTTTTCTATTGCTAAGGTCGCCATCTGATGACAACAGTGGGAGTTCTGTGAGAACTTACTTGTCTCTGCAGAAGAACTCTGGCACAAATCCTCGAAATGCTCAGTCTCCTGCCAACCCTTCCTCAGAGAAAGAAGAATCTCATCCTTTCACTCCCCCTTCTCGTGGCTACCTCATTTCCAAGTCTTTTGAATCAGTGAAAGAAAACATTTCACCAAATGGGAAAAGAGAAACAAGTACAATTACAGAAAAACAAGAGAAAGCGGGAAAGAAAAGGGAGTCTTCACCTCCATTCTGTGACTCGTGTATAGCAGCAATGAAACAAGGGAGACAACCAAGAGATGAATCTCCTTGTAGTTCATCCAACTTGAACAGTGGTAGATCATCAGGAACAGGAGGTCATTGTGTCAAAGAGACTAGACAGATCTTTAGTCAAAGAAGGGTGAACAGGTACAGAAATGAAGAGGACTCTTCAGGTAAAGTTCTGAATACAGTGCTTTTGTTAATGAAAGCTTGATTATACAAAAGTAAAGAAGTCTTAAAATGTTAATATAACAAACTTAAAGCATTACTGGGGTTTTGAGATTATGTTTCTTCTATTGACTACCTGTGACTTATCTTGTTTGGTTATAAAGTATTTCTGGAACAAGACTATTATAATTTCTTAGGTTTTCCTTACTTTATTTTAGATGTTAATCTTTAATGTATCCAGTTCTTATGAAAACACTACATATTGCTGTTTTACCTCTCCATACTGTGTTTCTTTGATTAATATCTCTATTAGAATTTAAAGGTTAGTATCTTCTCCGAATACAAGGCAATTAGAAAGGAAAGCACATATTTAAAATGATTATATTATAAAAACTAATAGCCCTAGAGAAACTAAAGTTTACTAGAGGCATAATGAATATCATATTATTGAAAAATAGAGAAGAGAAATATAAGCAGTGACATAAGTATTTGGTGTAATATGGTTGTGAAACACTGTATCATGTCCGTATTTTCCTCAATGTGCCATTTGTGAAACTTTATTTTTCCCTTAGGACATAGTTTTAAGATATAATAATTTTTACATATGCAGGATTTTCTTTATAATCTCCTAGTATTATAGTATGTAATTATACATACTGTTTAACTGACAGTTGTGTGGCTTAATTTGTTAACTTTTTTTCTGTGATTCTATTCTGCATGCTTGATGTAAACTAATGATGTTACTGTTATCATACATAACTATCAGAGGAGGAAGCACAGAACTCGGAATATCACAGCAGCTTACCTTTGGAAGTTCATGGAACAACATACCAACCTCTTGAATCAGGCTTTAAAGGCAATCTAATGGCTCAGGTAAGTTTGTGTAGCTTAAAACTTGAGGATTTCTATGTTCAAGGTAGCTAACCTTATTAGAAGATTTCTGTGTTCGTGGTAGATAACCTTATTAGAGGAATTCTGTGTTCATGGTAGCTGACCGTATTAGAAGATTTCTGTGTCCATGGTAGATAACCTTATTAGAGGATTTCTGTGTTCGTGGTAGCTAACCTTATTAGAAGACTTCTGTGTTCGTGGTAAATAACCTTACTAGAGGATTTCTGTGTTCGTGGTAGATGACCTTGTTAGAGGATTTCTGTGTTCGTGGTAGATAACCTTATTAGAGGATTTCTGTGTTCGTGGTAGATGACCTTATTAGAGGATTTCTGTGTTCGTGGTAGATAACCTTATTAGAAGGATTTCTGTGTTTGTGGTAGATAACCGTATTAGAGGATTTCTGTGCTCATAATAGCTAACCTTATTAAAGGATTTCCATGTTCATGGTAGCTGACCTTATTAGAGGATTTGTACATACGCTCACACTGAAATATCAGCACCTAAAAGTTTCTTTTTACTTAAAGCTTTTGAATGTAATTGTTCTACAGAATCTCCTTGTATCAGTCTGAAGATTTGTACGTACATTCACAATGAAACATCAGAGTTTCTCTTTACTTTAAAAAATGTAATTGTTCCATAGAAAATAATTGTTTTTTCTTCTGAAGATTTGTGCATAATAACCCATGTTGAAACATCAGCATCCTAACAGTTTGTCTATATATAAAGCTTTCGAATGAAGTCATTTTACAGAGTATACTTGAATTAGTAATGTATTACTGTGGAACTTTGTACATAAGTCCTCATTGAAACATCAATTTAAATTTGTTTGTATTATTGGTTTTAAGCTTTTTCAGTATTCTATAATTTTTAATAATTATCCTAGTTGGTAATTATCAAACTTACAACTTTCTTACAATATATAATTGAGTTACAACTTTCTTACAATATATAATTGAGTTACAACTTTCTTACAATATACAATTGAGTTACAACTGATTATTTCACTTCAGGATGAGTTCATTGTAGCCGTACGTCAGGTGGCTTTTGACATTGAACAGTTTGCTCATGAGATGGCACAACGGCTTTGTGCTGAAGCTGGAAGGAAATATCTTGCTTTTAATGACTACGATGTTCAAGTTATTGATGTAAGTGTCTTTTTTGTGTACAATCAGAAGTTGGTCTAGAAACTAGATATTTTATTTCTAATGACTTGTATTCTTGAAAATATTTCACATTATATGTACAGTTAATAAAATGATGTTAAATTATCAAAAAACATATTGTAGTATTAAATCAAAACTTTGTAAATAGATATTTATTTTATTAAACTTTCTGCATATTTGGGAAAAAAGTAATGTATTTTTCTTACCTTTATGATTCACTGAAAACTATGATGTGACACAAACGAGTTGATTAATGCCCAGATGTGATTAACTATTATTTTCTCCTCATAGCTTTGCCCTGAATCACAGACTGCTGTTGTTCTGGTATTGATGTTGATTCAAGCTACGGTAGGGAACAAAGGAGTAGCCAAAGGTCTCAGGTAAACATTATAGGGAACAAAGGAGTAGTTAATTCTCTCAGGTAAATACTACAGAGAACATAGAAGAAGTTAAATCTCTCAGATAAACATCATATGGAACAAAGGAATAGTTAAATTTCTCAGGTAAACATCATAGGGAATAACAAAATAGATAAACCTCTGAGATAAACACTATATGGAATAAAGAAGTAGCTACATATCTGAGGTAAACATTAAAGGAAACAAACAGCAGAAGTTAAATCTTTTAGGTAAACACAATAGGGAACAAAGGAGTAGCTAAATCTCTCAGGTAAACATCATAGAGAACATAGAAGTAGCTAAATCTCTCAAGTAAACACTATAGGTAACATAGGAGTAGTTAAATTTCTAAGGTAGACATTAAAGTGAACAAATGAGTAGCTAGTTTTTTCAGATAAACATTATAGGGAAGAAAAGAGTAGCCAAAGCTCTCAGGTAAACAGTATAGGGAACAAAGGAGTAGTTAAATCCTTCAGTTCAACAGTATAGGGAACAGAGTAGTTACGTCTCTCAGTTAAACAATATAGAGAAAAATGTGGAACTAAATCTTTCAGTTAAACATTATAGGGAACAAATGAGTAGCTAAATGTTTCAGATAATCCTTATAAGGAACAAAAGAGTAGCTAAATCTACCAGGTAAACACTATAGGGAACATATGAGTAGTTAAATTTCTCAGGTAGACATTATAAGGAACAAAGGAGTAGCCAAAACTCTCAGGTAAACACTATAAGGAATTACAAAATAGTTAAACACTATAGCAAAAAGAAGAAGTAGGTAAATCTCTGAGTTAAACATTAAAGGGAAGGAAAGAAGTAGCTAAGTGTCTCAGGTAAACATTATAGGGAACAAAGGAGTAGTTAAATCTCTTAGGTTACCATTATAAGAAACAAAGCAGTGGCTAAATCTCTCAGGGAAACACTAGGGAAGAAATGACTTGTTAAATGTCTCAGGTAAACATTATAGGGAACAAAGGAGTAGTTAAATCTCTTAGGTTACCATTATAAGAAACAAAGCAGTAGCTAAATCTCTGAGGGAAACACTAGGGAAGAAATGACTTGTTAAATTTCTCAGGTAAACATTTTACAGAACAAATGAGTATTTAAATCTCTCAGGTAAAAATTATAGGAAAGAAAAGAGTAGCCAAAGCTCTCAGGCAAACACTATAGGGAACAAAAGAAGTAGTGAAATCTCTCAGATAAACATTATAGGGAACAAAAGAAGTAGTGAAATCTCTCAGGCAAACACTATTTGGAACAAAGGAGTATCTATATATCTCAGGTAAACAATATAGGGTAAATATTATATATATATATATACATATTCAGGTAAGTATTATAGGGAACAAAAGAGTTGCCAAAGCTCTCAGATAAATAAAGTTGTTAACAAATGTGTTGTATATATTGCCTAGCTAAACAAAGTTGTATCATAACGCCTTGGGTATATAAAGTAGTTAACAAAAGAGTAATATAAAGCCTGAGGTAAATATAGTAGTGAAGAAAGAAGTATTATGAAGCTCTCAAGTAAACAGTAAGTCCAGTAGAAAGTAAAGGAGATGCAAAAACTGTGAAATGAATACAATGAGGAACAAAAGAGTAGCACTACTCTGGGGTAAATATAATAAATAGTAAAAGAATGGTTGAATTGCCCAAGTATAAGACCAGAAAGAGGAAAAAATAAAGTGAACAAACCTTTCAACTTAATAGTACAAGGAACAAAGGAATAGACCAACCTCTCAATTAAGTACCACAGGAAACAGAATAGTAGATAAACCTCTCAAATAAATACCACAAGGAAAAGGAGAGTGGATAGACCTCTCAATTAAGTACCACAGGAAACAGAATAGTAGATAAACCTCTCAAATAAATACCACAAGGAAAAGGAGAGTGGATAGACCTCTCAAATAAATACCACAAGGAAAAGGAGAGTGGATAGACCTCTCAAATAAATACCACAAGGAAAAGGAGAGTGGATAGACCTCTCAATTAAGTACCACAGGAAACAGAATAGTGGATAAACCTCTCAAATAAATACCACAAGGAAAAGGAGAGTGGATAAACCTCTCAAATAAATACCACAAGAAACAGATGAGTGAATAAACCTCTCAATTAAGTACTACAGGAAACAGAAAAGTGAATAAACCTCTCAAGTAAATACTTCAAGAAACAAAAGATTGGATATACTTCTCAAGTAAATACCACAAGGAAAAAAACAGTGGATAAACCTGTCAAGTAATTACCACAAGAAAAAGAAGAGTGGATAAACATCTCAATCAAGTATAACAAGAAACAGAAGAGTGGATAAACCTCTCAATTAAGTATAACAAGAAACAGAAGAGTAGATAAGCTTCTCAAGTAAATACCACAAGGAAAAGAAGAGTGGACAAACCTGTCAATTAAGTACCACAAGGAAAATAAGTGTGGACAAACCTCTTAAGTAAATACTACAAAGAGAAGAAGAAGAAGAATGGACAAACCTCTCAATTAAATACCACCAGGAAATGGAGAGTGGACAAAGCTCTAAAGTATATAACACAAGGAACAGAACAGTGGACAAACCTCTCAAGTAAATACCACAAGGAAAAGAAGGGTGGATAAATCTTTCAAGTAAGTACCACAAGAAACAGACGATTGGGTAAACTTATCAAAAAAGTATCACAAGAAACAGATGAATGGATAAACTTGTCAAGTAAGTACCACAAGGAACAGAAAAGTAAACCAACATCTGAAATAAATATCAGAAAGAACAGAAAAGTGGATGAACCTTTCAAGTAAATACCACAAGGAAGAGAAGAATGAATAAACCTTTCAAGTAAGTATCACAAGAAAAGAAGAATGGATAAACCACGAAAGTAAATACTACAAGGAGAAGAAGAGTGGACAGACCTCTCCAATAAATACTAAAAGAAACAAAAGAGTGGAAAAATCTGTTGAATGAATCCAGTGATGAAGAAAAGAGTAGTGAAATTTTTGTTTGTCAACTATTTTTCTAGTAACTAGAGAGGAAAATAAAATATAATAAACAATTAAATTATTTGGTTGGTAATTACTTCAAAAGAAAGACTATTAAAGTTGCATACCTGTGGTATCTGTCTGTTAAATATAATATATTATTGAATAAAATCTGGTATTTAATAATTAAGTGAACTGATAAACATTAAGGTGTTACTGTGTTAACATCAAGCTTTATGAGGTGGTTCTGGTGGCATTTATAAACTTGTTAATTTGTTACTTGAGTAAGGAAGCACATTACACTAATATAATAATAAGTTCGAAAACAATAGTTTATAAGCATCATGAAATGATTTATTTTTGGGGGAATGTACTACATGTTTCAACAGAGCATTGGTTTATCTTTTACCTGATTGATTGATTCAGTGGTTAAAGTTTTTTGTAACGTAAGTTCTTCCTTATTTCACTACTTTAACATGTACTCAACAATTGTTTTGAATGGTGGTTAAAGCTCTTTGTAAAGTAAGCTCTTCCTTATTTCACTACTTTAACGTGTACTCAACAATTGTTTTGAACTGTTGGTTAAGACTTTTGACAAAGTAAGTTCTTCCTTGTTTCACTACTTTAACGTGTACTCAACAATTTTGAACTGTTGGTTAAGGGTTTTGATAAAGTAAGTTCTTCCTTGTTTCACTACTTTAACGTGTACTCAACAATTGTTTTGAACTGTTGGTTAAGGCTTTTGATAAAGCAAGTTCTTCCTTGTTTCACTCCTTTAACGTGTACTCAACAATTATGAACTGTTGGTTAAGGCTTTTGATAAAGTAAGTTCTTCCTTGTTTCACTACTTTAACGTGTACTCAACAATTTTGAACTGTTGGTTAAAGCTTTTGATAAAGTAAGTTCTTCCTTGTTTCACTACTTTAACGTGTACTCAACAGTTATGAACTGTTGGTTAAAGCTTTTGATAAAGTAAGTTCTTCCTTGTTTCACTACTTTAACGTGTACTCAACAGTTATGAACTGTTAGTTAAGGGTTTTGATAAAGTAAGTTATTCCTTGTTTTGCTACTTTAAAATGTACTTAACAATTGTTTTGAATGGTTAGTTAAGGCTTTTAGTGAAGTAAGTTCTTCTTACTTACACAGGAATGCAGAAAGACATGTCTTCCAAACAGGATTTAAATTTCAGTGGAAAATTGACTCAGGTAAGATATTTAAAGTAACAATTTCTCTAGTGCTTGTAATGGTAAAATACATATTTATTGTTCAATACTGAACACTTTTCTCAGTTGTAAAAAAATACATTGGATTAACTTATACTTTCAAAATCAATTTACAGAGATACCAAAAATTTTATAAAGTCTAGATTTATAATTCGTAAGTAGCAATGCAACAAAATCCTGTAATACAAAGTAGATGCTATTGAGAAATGGAATAAGCCTCAGTGTATCATTTATTGGTCAATTTGTTTATATTTCATTGTTCTAGAAGACATCTTCAGATTTCTTGAGGTTTGATTTTGTGGAGAATGATCATTATTTTACCTTAGTACACATTCTTATCTTTATAAGTAGGAACCTAAGAACAAATTATATTTAATTAGCTATACTGATTGTTAGGTTGATTTTTAGTTTGATCTAAGTACATAGCTTGCTTGCATGTTAATATTTATTCAGAAGAGAGTATATTTATTTTACTTGCATATATGTTTTAACTCTTTCTGCCTGGGCATCATTCAATGTGCATGTCACAAGGTTTTAGTGACATTCAAGATTTAATTAAACTACTTTTTGTTTATATTATACAAATTAGTCTATCATAAGATCGTAGCTAATAATCCATATTTTAATAGTATATAAGTTTTAAGTTCTTAATTCTACAAGGCAGTATTATAAAAAAATCCTGAATTTCCTCCAGTGTGACACACATGACACATTTTCTCTAGGCATCTTCTCTATTTTATTCACCACCCCTCAAAAATGTATGAAATTAAAAAGTAAATTACTCACTGTAATATCGTCATTGCTCAGTCAAACCATAATTTTTATAGCCTTCAATTTTGTTTGGTTACATAGCTATCAAATAGAAAATCAGACCCTCTCTTTCAGGGTTTGTTAATAGTTCTCTCTTACGTTTAATTATTTATTACCTATAACCAACAGAAAATGAAGGTTTTTAGCTATCATATGACGTGTTGTATAACATTGTGTTTTCAACAGATAATCGTCAGTTTCACTCAGAGTACAAGCTCTGTTCCCGTGGGAAAGTTAACGACTAACTTGGATGAATTTGTAACAGTTTTTGTTGCATAGCTAGAATGCCAGAAAAATGTTGAGAGTTAGGGGAAATTGTCTACTTTTTGCATGTTATTAGTCTATGTTCTTTGGTGCATTATTTAACATTATCACGACAGGTCACGTGTCAAAGACCATGTCATCACGTTTGTTGACTTGCAATCAAAATGTTATTGAACTACTATTTTATGAATTTATGTTAATAAGTTTGGTATCATATGGTAGATTATAATTCAAATTTTAGTATTGTATGTTAGTTAATTTCTTAATTTAAAAGAAAATATTAAAAAAAACAGCTAAACATCACTTTTGGGTGTCATGTGGTATATTGAATGCAGCACTGGTTCAAATTAGGTGTTTGTGATGTCAAAATACAAAGTCTGTAGTTTCGTACAAGGAACTCAAATTACCGATATTGACAAGCTAGAATATAGAATAAGAACCCCTTATCTTTTCTATTTGCTAAGATATATTGCTTATGTACTGAATCAAACATAGTGACCCCACTAACCTGTTTCCATTTTTGGAAACGCTCCTTTATATACACTTACTTCTGTATATGACATGTGAATAACCAATTGAAGGTTTTCGTGGTTTTCTCAGCCATTTTGATGTGTTATTGTGTTAATCTCATTCTTTTCACACAAGATTTCAACCGGTAAGTTAAGTCTTTAGTGAACTCGAAATTTCATATTTTTTTAAAGCAAAATACAGCTTAGTTACTGAGCTTGATAAATTATAGTGGAATTCTATGTTATTGATATATTAATTTGTGATTTTTTTGGGTTATTTAAAATGTATATAAAAAAACTAAAAAAAATTTCTTTTCACATCCTCCATGTGGGAAATTTCTTAAGGTTTAGCAACCTATGACAAGCAGCAAACAAGTACAAAGGTCATAACTAGTAGAGATAATTGTTTGCGTTACTACTTTATTAACTGTTCTATGTTTTAAGAAAAATAAGTTAAAGAACTTATATGTAAATAGTATTAATGTATATATATACATAATGTATAATAATTCAAATTATATTATTGGATACAGTATTATGAGTGCACATGCACCGTGTCTTTGTAAATTCTGTATTGTTATCTAGGCATGGTTGAAAGGTCAATATAATAAAAATGATAAATATATATAAATGTATAATGTTATTAGATTTATGTTATTTAGACTCAACATTTGTGTTTTCGTGTTACAATCTGTACTCATTTTAGAATGAAAAAAACATAATTTAAGTTTATACCCTAATTTTTTGTGGTGGTTACGAGGCTGGTTAAATTGACAGACCCTATAGAGTTAGGGTAGAAAAAAAAGCAGAAAAATATAAAGTTTACTGAAAACAAACGTTTGAAATGTAATTAGGAGGTTTAGAGATTGCAAAAATATTTGAGATTTTTGGGACAAACACTAGTTTTCTAGTTATAACATGAAAATCACTTTGGGCTGATAATGAAACAGAATCGATATTTTCACAAACAAATATAAAAATACTTCATTAAAAAATCTGATTTTTTGTGTATGAAAGACTTGTAATCTTTACTAAAAGTTTACAAAATTTTGTCTGCATTAAAAGTTAGAGTATAAATACTTGTGTACATTATACCGAGCCCTTTGTGAAAGGGTTAATTAAGTAAAAATTGTTTACTGCATTACTACCATTTGTATAAAAAAAAGTAGGTTTAAGTGTCATTGACAATCAGCAGCAAGAAAGAAGATTGGGTAAGTAATTTATTTCTTGTTTTTCATGTTTATTCTTTATTTATTATTATAAAAGTAACTAAAATGTAAAAAATAGGAAACTGTAGGTTAGTTAAGGTTAGATTAGGTAAAATAAATAATAATAATATATATGTTTAATGAAGCATGTATGCGAGCAGCTTGTAGAAGCTATTGGATAATGTAATTTAGTAGTGTTAGGCAAGCTGCATGTTCCCCAAGAGAGTTACAACTTATAATGGCATGAATAGTAGTACCGTATTTTTCGGAATATAAGACGCACCCTTATTTTGAAGATAAAGTTTTGGAGAAAAGAAAGAGCTACAGTTGCATTTGAAAGATTTTTATTGAACAAAAATTCAATTTGATACTTTAAAAATTAGTATGTATTTTTCTAAACACAAAAGAGCTCAAAACATCAAAATAAGAAAATACCGTAAATCAAAAAAAAGGTTTACTGTTATTTAGTTTGGTTCTAAACCTACAAAATCTTCATTGCTTTTACTGTGATTTTTTTTATTATTTAGGGAGCATTATAAG